GAGATTGGCCCTACCTGCCCTTCTGAGGTTGGCAGCGAGCCAGCGTGTGCTCATATCTATGACAACACTCTCATACGCATTCCTTGGGAACATCTGAACAAAATTAGTCAGAATTCAATACTGTTTCGTCACCGACAGTGAGTTCCAGCACGTTGCCTCTCCTGGGGCTAAGTGTGTTTTCATTAGCAGTAAAGGCTGCTTTTACTGTGTCACATATATGCATAGAGCACCAGGATCATCACCGTTTGCAAGGCTCCACTTCTGAGTGTGGACTGTGTAAGATGTTCATGCAGTTTTCCTGGAGTGCAAGATCTGAGATCAATGCCACTGAAGTTCACGGGAGACGTCTAGCCTCACCTGTGATGCTAGGAGTCAGAGTAGATCCTGGCCTAGGCCTGTTGAGCCCTTGGCTTGACAGTTTGCGTTTTGTCTCAGTTCTTGCTGCAAGTGCACTAGTTGGGGCTGTGCTGATGTGGAAGCCAAAGTGAGGAAGATTCTGTAGTTTCTTATTGGAGCCTTAGGTCAGATCTGAGGTCCTAGCTGTTGAGGCCCTTTGGGTTGGTGGGATTTCTGAGTGCCCTGTGGGCTGTATTGTTTGCAGGGACCTAGTCAAATTGTGGCAGGGTTGAAAGGCAGTAGACCTCATTTCTGTCCTTGGCAGTTCCTGTGTTGTATCTTCTGTCACGTGCTTGTGGCTTGTGTCTTGGAGGCCGCCATGGACTGTGCAGTGGTCCCAGCCTGCATTCCTCCTGCAGGTTGGCCAGAGGCCTAGAGCAGAATGGTTGTGCAGGTAAGGAAAAGTGCAGTGTGATTTCCTGGGATGGTCTGTCCACTGAGGCTGCAGGCACTGTTGTTTTTTCATTGTGCCATACTGTGGTTCTTTTGGAGCTGCCCTTGGCTGGGTACAGAGGAGAGGGCATTTTGGTGCCTGGCAGGCTTGGTGATAGGTGACCTTTGTGGCCTTGGTGGCCCGCTTCCAGAAGGACTCACAAAGCGTATCTTTGGTGCCTTGAAGAATTCCACTTACTGAGGCCTCACAGCCAGCTAGTGTGGGCAGAAATCAGATCTTTGCACATGTCTGGTTTTCCTTTTGGCCTGCAATTTGCAAGGTGTATAAATTCCTAAAGATGGGATCAGCTGGACTGCCTAGATGGCACCCAGTTGTTCACCACCGTAGCAGAGAAGTATTCAACCTTGGAGTCCTGTGGTTTTTAGAGATTCATCTTTGGTTGGCATACCAAGGCTTCCTCCATGATGTAGCAAGTGACTTACTTCCCTGGCACTGTTCTGGGAACCTTCACATAACAAAGGTCTTTCCCTGGAAGTTCTTCTCAAGTCTTCCTGGAAGAAGCCTTGATGTTCTGTGAACACTTGATTATTTTGTGTAGCAGAGAAGGGATGCTGGGCAGAATGGCATGGTGTCACCGTAATCAAAGACCACCTTCTTCCTGTTGGTCTTCTGAGTGCTAAATATCCCTTTGTGAGCAGAAGACCTGGTGGCTTCTGATGTGGGTGAGTCATACTGGGGGTGGATGGAGGAGTTCAATTTGCAGGAATCGCTTTATTTTAGGAGATTTTCCTGGGTGTGGTTGGTTCCCAGGGCCCTGGAGGCTATGGATCTGAGCATTATCTGGCCGGCAAAGGGGCCCAGTTTCTGTGGGAGTGACCCCTGAATCCTGGTACCTGAGGAAGACCAGGTCCCATCTTGCACTTTCTGGCGGAGTCTGGAGAGTGATTAGACTCACTGGGCAGGAAGTGGCTCATGCCCTGAATTATTTTGCCCTTTTAGGGAGTGGTGGGCCATATCTGCCCCAGGATCATGTTCCCAATACTTTTGACCTTCTTGAGGAAAGTTTCCTTGATCCAGGAGGAGGTGGGTCTTGTGACCATGGACACTTGAGCTGTAGTTTTAGCTGGCATGTCTCTTGGTACATGGCATTCACACAGTTGCTCTGCAAGGTGACCTTGGGCAGTCAGGTTCATGTTCATGGTGATAGGGTATGGGTCACAGAGATCACGAGCCCATGCCCTATTTCAACAGCTCCTCAGGATGAAATTTTTCATGGGGCTTGTGGACAGTGGCAGGTGTCATCTGCCATTTTGTTGGACAGCAGGAGGTCAGGGCTCTGTGGTGAAGATATGCGTGTTAAGACACCAAGGCCTTTGCAGTGGGACCCTGAGTCCTGGAGACACCCAGAAGGAGTTTCAGAGGCACACCCAGAGTCTTGAGGAACATTCTTCTTGGTACACTGGAACACATACACTCAGACCCACATCAAATCCCCTGCCACGCACACATACTCAGTCAGACAGACACCGATAGGAACTTTAAGATAATTTCCTACCTTTGTGCTATAGATAGGTATCCAGTCATACATGAGGGGTCGAGGCAGTTCAGAAGCAGATGCAGGCTTTCCCCCAGGGAACCATGGACACCGATATTGTTCATTGAGAACCCAGGTACACATTTGAAGCATGCTTGTGCTTTCCTTTGACTTGTCAGGAGAAGTTGCCAGGTATGACTGTCGCTTAGAAGAATCCCTGCCTACGATTCTGTGAATGAAGGTGCAAGAGAGTCCTATGAGAAGTGTTGCAGGAACAGCTTGCAGTTTCTGTTTTTTGGATCACTAAGGATGGTACACCTTCCCCTGCCCCAAAATGTGTCTTGGATTTAGGGTTTCCTGGGATTGCTTGAGTACCTGTAAGTGTGAATGGACTTTTCCTCTTGCCAAGAAGCCTGGGGGCTCTGAATTCTGCCAGCTCCTGGAGGATTCCCAGATCATTGGCTCCTTCTTGGAGCAGCCCTGCCTACCCTGCTGAGGTATGCAGCGAAGCAGCACATGCTTGGATCAATGATGAGAACATTAATATGCATTCCTTGGAAAATCTGAATAAAATGAGTGAGAACTCACTACCATCTCCTCATCGACACTGAGCTCTAGCATGATGCCTCCCATGAAGCTAGGGTTGGGGCTAGTTATCAGTTAGGGCCAGCTTAGACTTGGTCACACACATGCATGCAGTACCTGGGTCCCCTTCATTTGGTTGTCTTCTTTCTTTTGGTGGCCCTTATAAATGACTTCAGTTTGTCTCTGGCTTCAATAATCTAGCCTGGGATGTTGTCCTCTGTTATGATGTGTGTGCAGTTGTCAGAGGTAATTGAAGACATTTGAAGCATCTGAGCATCTGATCTGCCATTGAGTTTCACTGACCCCCCCCTGCTGCTTGTTGCCTGGTGCTCTGGAGAAAAGCCAAGATTTTTCATTCATGATTCATACAGCAGACTTGGCCTCAGCTGGCTTCAATGTCATTTTTTTCTCCAGGAAGGCATGCCGCAGATTTTCTCCTGATATTCAGAGGAGATCAATGGTCAGAGCATCCAGCAGGTGGGCCAAGCTGATGGCCCCTTTTCTGACCGTTTCTTTGGTTGTTGTCTGAATGAGCACTGGTATTGGGAGACTGAGCCTGGCAGATGCCTTAGAGCATTTCTGAGGATGGAAATCCTGTGTTGATGAGAGGGATCTGCACGTTGCCCTGAGGGGGTGGGGGTGGAGATGCTGGGGCAGAGCAAAGCTTGGGGAGTGTGAAATGTACCTCGAATGGTGGTGGAACCCATGGGTGGATGGGTAAGTGAATGGATCAGTGACTCAGTTAGGTTCCCTGAAGTCAGTGTTACCTTCAGTTAAGGTTGGAGTGAATGTGGAGAAGCACCACGGTGGCAGGTTCATAGGTTCATGGACCATCCAAGAGTTGGCCTCTCCCATGATAGGTCCTTTGAGGCAGACCTCTGGAGCTGGGAGTGGTTTCCAGTCTGGTGTCATATCTTGTCCTGGCCAGGATATCAAGTATGAGAAAGATAGGATATTTCTGTCCATCCCACCTCATTCTCCCCTTGTGTTTGGCGTGAAGTTGTGCCTTAGGATATCCCACTGTCATTTGTAAATCCAGCCCACCTATCCTTTCCTGAGTTTAGGGGCTCTTCCCAGAAATCAGGGACCAGGATCCTGTGGAAAACAGGGGAGTTGATGGCCCAAATGAGTGGGCAGTTGTAGGGGCAGGAGAGGCTGTCTGGTGTGGGGCTCATTTTGTCATTTGGCCTGCAGGGAGGCCTGCAAGGGCTCATTTTGTCATTTGGTGCAGGGAGGCTGTGCTCTCCTGTGTTCCTGGCCTCTGGCCAGAGGTGTGATGTGGATTCATTCATCATGCCTCTTTGCTGGATTCTGTCATGGCATGGCTGATGGTGTCCAGATGGTCATGGACAACCTGAGTCTCATGTTGTGTCCAGGTTTATGGCATTGATGTTGCTGCCTTACAAAGAGAAAGTCAGCATACAAGTGGCCCAGTTGCTGTAAAGGGTGGAGCCCCAGCATCTCTGCCCTTCAGAATGTCTGCAATGGCCTGTAGCTCTTTGTGCTTTTCAAGGAAGTTCTTCTAGCATGGCTGTTGGCTCAGAATCCTGCACCCTCATGTGTCAACCAGGCTGAGTGCAGGTGTCCATTGGGACCTCTTTGTTGCATGGCTGAAAGAGCCTTTTTTTTGTGGATATGCAACTTGTCAGAAAAGGGGCTTATTATCATGGAAGCCCTCAGGTACCTTTTATCCTTCCCTGTGCTGGCAAGTCCATTGTGAGCAAAATAGGTGCCAAGAGTGGATATGTTTCCCTGGAAGGGCAGTGGCTATTAGGCCAAGGGGGCTCTGTTCCCCTCAGGGTGTCTCCAGGGTTCTTGGGGGACATCCTTAAGCTTTCAGTGGAAATGGCAAAAGAAGAGAAATTGCAGGGCCTGAGACCAGGCAGTTGGCAGATTGGTGCTATTTGTCCTGATGGCCTCTTGACTCTGGAGGTGTGAATGCATTCATATTTGGATTCTGACACACCAGGCTGAGGTGCAGCAGTTGAATAGTAGATTCAAGAATAAGGGCAGCTCTACTGGAGGCCTTGCCCCTTTCCCCTGTATACCTGTTGCTCTTCCTCATGCATGTATGTGTTTTCTCACCTCAAGCCAGATTGAGTTGCCCAGGATGGAAGACCATTGTCAGCAGGGAACCCATCACATATTCCATGAATCCCAGCCTGGTGAGACAAGTAGCATGAGCCCCCTGGGGCCATTTGGCATGCAGCCCTTGGGCGTACAGATGGAATACCCATGGAGGTAAGTGGTCCTTATTCGAGGAAACCTAGTGGTTTGGCCCCAGTGATCTGGGCATGGGATCTGCACTCTCACCTTCTGGGGTTTCCCTAGGGTATGCAAAATCCCAGGGCCCAAGGTTTGGCTGCAGTTCCTGCCTCCTGGCTGCAACCTGTGCAGTCCCAAATGCTGACCTGATTGAACTCACTGGCCTTCCTGGTGGCAAAGGAAGGTGGCGACTGCTCATGCAGTTCCTGGGCACACGTGCTTGGATCGATGATGACTCTTACAAATGCATTCCTTGGAAATCTGAACAAAATGAGTGAGCCACCCCTACCGTCTCCTCATCGGAACTGAGGTCCAGCATGTGATTTCCAGTAGGATTGAAGAGCCAGGGCCACATTGTATTTGCTCCCTGGGGAATCAGCAGCAACAGTGTGCAAGCTGAGGGTGATAGCCTTGTGGTACAGAGGTGAGCCATGAGGAAGATGTCCTCACCTCCCAACCTCAGGATATGGCTAGGGACCACGAGTCATCTCTGGTTGCATGAGGCTAGCCAAGGCTTTTGTCTCTTGGCATGTATGATTCTATTGGTAGCAGAGAAGTGGAAGCCTTTTGAGAGCATCTGGACTGCCATTGAGTTTGTTAGCCACACTGCCTTTGCCTGAAAGTGTTTTTACTCATGGTCAGGAAAGGAATCATGACTTCGGCCAAGTTTCTATGTCATATTCTTCTGGGGGATGGGATGCTGCATAGTTTTCTCCTGATAATCAGAGGAGATCATTGGACAGAGTGTCCAGAATTTGGGCCAAGCTGATGACCCCTCATCTGATTGTTTCTTTGGTTGGTATGTGAGTGGGCAGTAGTGTTGGGAGGGTGAGCCTTGCAGATGCATTACGGCATTTCCAAGGATGAAAGTCCTGAGTCAATAGGAGGGACCTGCACATTGTCCTCAGGTGGGCAGTTGCCAGGGGAGAGCAAAGCTTGGAGGGTGTGAAATGTACCTCAAGTGGTGGTGAAACCCATGGATGGATGGGCAGGTGGATGGATCGGCAAGTCAGTCAAGTTCCCTGAATTCTGGGTTCAGTTGGAGTGAGTGTGGGGACGGACTGTGGTGGCAGGTTCACAGGTTCATGGATCATCAAACAGTTGGCCTCTCCCGTGATTGGTTTCCTTTGCTGTAGATCTCTGGAGCCACGAGTGGTTCCCCAGTTGGCGTTGTATCTTGTCCTGGCCTGAGGGTCGTATGAAGCAGAGGGGATGTTTTCTGTCCATTTTGCCATGCTCTTCCCATGTGCATGGAGTGAATTTGTGCCTCAGGACATCCCAGTGTCATTTCTATACCCAGCCCACCTATCCTTGCCCAAGTTTAGGTGCTCTTCCCAGAAATTAGGGGGCAGGGGAAGAAATAGGGGAAGGGGAAGAAATTTTCTCCCTGTGGAAATAGGGGAGTCAACTGCCCACATGAGTGGCTATAGTTTTAAGGGCAGGAGGAGCTCTCTGGCGTGGTGCTTAGCAGCAAGGCTGTGCTCTCCTGCCAGCCTGTGGCCAGAGGCGTCATGTGGGTTCAATCATTGTGCCTCTTTGCTGGGTTCTGTGGTGTCATGACTGGTGTTTCAGGATGGTTGTGGATGACCTGAGTTTCGTATTGTGTCTGGGCTCATGGCAGAGATGTTACTGGCTCAAAAAGAACAAAGTGGCATGACAAGTGACCCAGTTGCTCTGAAGGATGGAGCCCCAGTATCTTTGTGCTTTGGAATGGCTCCAATGGCCTGTAGCTCTTTGTGTTGTTCAAGGAAGGGCTTCTAGCATGGCTATTGACCAGGAAGCAAGCATGCTTATGTGTCAACTGGGCTGAGTCCACTGGGGCCCTTTTGTCATGGGGCTGAAAGAGCCATTTTTTGTGGATATGCTCCATATCAGAGAAGGGGTTTAATGTCATGGAGGCCCTCAGGTACCTTTTATTCTTTCCCATGCTGGTGAGTCCATTGTGAGCAGAATAGGTGCCAAAAGTGGGTGTGTTTCCCTGAAATGTCAATGGCTGTTAGGCGAAGGGGACTACATTCACCTGAGGGGGAGTCTCGGAGTTCTTGGGGGACATCCTTAAATTGTGTTGGCGGCGATGGTACGTGGAGTGGAATTGCAGGCCTGAGACCAGGCAGTTGGCAGATTGGCACTCTTTGTCCTGATGGCCCCTTGTCTCTAAATGTATCCACGCACCAACACATCCCTCTTTGGCTGCCTACACAGCACACCTTATTGCAGCAATTGAATGGTAGATGCCAGAATGATTGGCAATGCTCCCGGAGGCCTTGCCTCTTTCTCCCGTACACCTGGTGCTCTTCCTCATGCATGCATGTGTTTTCTCACCCCAAGCCATGTTGAGTGGCCCGAGATGGAAGACTGTTGGCAACAGGTTACCTGTTCTGTATTCCATGACACCCAGCCCCTCGAGATGAGTCTCACGAATCCCCAGAGGGAACTGGACAAGTGGCCCTTGAATGTACAGATGGAACAACCATGGTGGTAAGCAGCCTTTCTTTGAGGAAACCTAGCGGTTTGGCCCCAGAGATCTGGGCATGGTATTCACACCCTCACCTTCTGGGGTTTCCTGGGGCATGCAAGGTCCCAGGGCCCAAGGCTTGGCTGTAGTTCCTGCCAAATGGCTGAAATCTGTGCACTCCCAAATGCTGACATGATTGAGCTCACTGACCTTCCTGGGATGGAGATGGCGACTTTGCTCATGCCACTCCTGAGCACACGTGCTTGGATCGATGATGACTCCCACAAATGCATTCCTTGGAAATCTGAACAAAATGAGTGAGCCATCCCTACCGTCTCCTCATCGGAACTGAGGTCCAGCACGTGGCTCCCAGAGGGATCAAAGAGCCAGGGTCACATTCATTTGCTCCCTGGGGCGTGAGCAGCCACAGTGTGCAAACTGAGGGTGATGGCCTTGTGACGTGGAGGTGAGCCACAGGGGAAAGGGGCTGCATCTCCCATGCTTGGGTTATGACTGGAGACCACAAATTGTCTCTGTGTGCACAAGCTATCCAGGCCTTTTGTCTCCTGGTGTGGATGAGAGTGAGGGTAGCAGAGGAAGCAGAAGCCATTTGAGAGCATCTGGACTGCCACTGAGTTTGTCAGGCCTCCGTGCACCCACTGCCTGGTCGCTGGCGGATAGCACAGCGTTTTCACTCAGGGTCAGAACAGGAGTCGTGGCCTCGGCCAGGCTTCTGTGTCACGTTCTTCTGGGGATGGATTGCTGCATAGTTTTCTCCTGATAGTGAGAGGAGATCAATGGGCAGAATGTCCAGAAGGTGGGCCAAGCTGAGGGCCCCTCATCTGATCGTTTCTTTGGTTGGTGTGCATGGGCACTGGTATTGGGAGACTGAGCCTGGAAATTGCATTAGGGTATGCCGTGGATAAAAATCCTGTGTCAACAGGAGGACTAGCACATTGCCCTGAGGTGGGTGGATTCTGGGGGAGAGCAAGGTTTGGAGATCTTGAAATGCACCTCGAATGGTGGAAGAACCCATGGGTGGATGGATGTGTGGATGGATCAGCGAGTCAGTCAGGATCCCTGAAGTCTGGGTTGCCTTCATATACAGTTGGAGTGAGTGTGGGGGAAGGATCATAGTGGCAGATTCATAGGTTCAAGGACCATCCAACAGTTGGCCTCTCCCATCGTTGGTTTCCTTTGTGACAGGCTTTGAGCCAGTAGTGGTTTCCAACATGGCACTGTATCTTGTCCTGACCTCGGGGCCAAGTGTGAACTATCCATTGCATGGAATTCTCCAGGCCAGAACACTGGACTGGGTAGCCTTTCCTTTCACCAGGGGATCTTCCCCCACCCAGGGATCAAACCCAGGTTTCCCATATTCCAGCGGATTCTTTACCATCTGAGCCACCTGGGAAGCCCAAGAATACTGTAGTGGGTAGCTTATACCTTCCCCAGCGGATCTTCCCAACCTAGGAATCAAAGGACGGTCTCCTAAATTGCAGGCAGATTCTTTACCAGCTGAGCTATCAGGCAGGCCACGTATGAGGTAGAGGGGATATTTTCTCTCCATCGTGCCACATTCTCCAGTGTGCATGGAATGATGCTCTGCCTCAGGACATCCCAGCGTCATTTCTGTACCCATCCCACCTATCCTTGCACAAGTTTAGTAGCTCTTCCCTGAACTCAGGGGCTAGGACCCCATGGAAATGGGAGTCAGATGCTCCTGTGAGTGTCTGCAGTTTTAAGGGCAGGGGAATCTGTCTGGTGTGGGGCTCATTTTTGTCATGCAGTCTGCTGGTTCAGCGAGGCTGTGCTCTCCTACATGCCTGGCTTCTGGCCAGAGGTGTCATGTGGGTTCAGTCATCTCGCCTCTTTACTGGTTTGTGTCATGACCTGGCTGGTGGTGTCAGAATGGTTGTGGACGACCTGAGTCTTGTGCTGTGTGTGGGTTCACAGCACTTATGTTCCTGCCTTACAGAGAGCAAGGTAGCATGGCAAGTGACCCAGTTGCTGTAAGGGTGGAGCCCCAGCATCTTTGCACTTCAGGAAGTCTCCGATGGCCTACATCTTTTCATGGTGCCTAAGGAAGGCCTTCTAGCATGGCTTTTGGCCAGGAAGCAAAGCATGCTCGTGTGTCAGCTGGGCTAAGCGTAGATGTCCACCAGGGCTCCTTTGTGGCAGGACTGAAAGAGACATTTTTTGTGGATCTGTTCCCTGTCAGGGAAGGGTCTTATTGTTGTGGAAGCCCTCAGATACCTTTTATCCTTCCCTGTGCTGGGCAGTCCATTGTGAGCAGAGTATGTGGCAAGAACAGGTGTGTTTCCCTAGAAGGGCAGTGTCTGTTAGGCCAAGGGGCCCCAGTCCCCTGAGTGTGTCTCAGGGCTTCACAGAGGACACCCTTAAGCTGTGTCAGCAGGGACGGCATGAAGAACGGAATTGCAGGGCCCAAGACCAGGGAGTTGGCAGATTGGCAGTCTTTGTCCTGCAGGCCCCTTGACTCTGAAGGTATCCGTGCACCAATGTATCATCTTTGACGGCTGACACACCAGACTGAGGTGCACCAATTGAATGGTAGATGCAAGAATGAGAGCAGCACTTCTGGAGGCTTTGCCTCTTTCCCCAGTATGGCTGTTGCTCTTCCTCACACATGTGTGTGTTTTCTCACCCCAAGCCAGTGGCCTTGAGTGACCTGGGATGGAAGACTATTTGCAACAGAGAACCCATCACATATTCCATGACAACTGTCCTGGCAAGATGAGGCATGCGAGCCCCCAGGGACTTCTGGGCAATTGGCCCTTCGATGTACAGGTGGATCACCCATGGCGGTAAGCAGTCCTTCTTTGAGGAAACCTAGCAGTTTGGCTCCAAGGATTTGGGCATGGGATCCATGCCCTCACCTTCTGGGGTTTCCCTGGGGCATGCAAGGTCCCAGGGCCCAAGGCTTGGCTGTAGTTCCTGCCACATGACTGCAATCTGTGCACTCCCGAATGCTGACATGATTAAGCTCACTGACCTTCCTGGGATGGAGGTGGCGACTTTGCTCATGTCGCTCCTGAGCACACGTGCTTGGATCGATGATGACTCCCACAAATGCATTCCTTGGAAATCTGAACAAAATGAGTGAGCCATCCCTACCGTCTCCTCATCGGAACTGAGGTCCAGCACATGTCTCCCAGAGGAAACCCTCAGAAACTTTTTTCCTTTCCCCACTGGCATGCTCTTTGTGAGCAGACTCAGTGCCTAGAGTGGGTGTGTTCCTCTGGAACAGCAGTGGCTATTAGACCAAGGGGTCCCTGTTCCCCTGAGGGCATCTTGGGGATTCATGGAGGACATCCTTAAGCTGTATTGGTGGGGATGGCATGGGGAGAGGAATTGCAGGGCCCAAGACCAGGGGGTTGACAGATTGTTGCTCTTTGTCCTGATGGCCCCTTGAATCTGAAGCAATCCACATGCCAACACATTCGTGTTTGGCTTCTGACATACCAGATTGAGGTGCAGCAATTGAATGGTAGATGCAAGTGTGAGGGCAATGCTCCTGGGGGCCTTGCCTCTTTCCCTCGTATGCCTGTCTCTCTTCCTCATGCTTGCATGTTTTTTCTTGCTTCAAGCCAGATTGAGTGGCCCAGGATGGAAGACCATTGGCACCGGGGGACGCGTTACATATTCCATGACTCCCAGCCTGGAACGTTGAGGCCTACGAGCCACCACAGGCCACTGGACACACGGCTGTAGTGGTCCAGGTGGAACACCAATGGCTGTAAGTGGCCCTTCTTCACGTAAACCTAGTGGTTTGGCCATAGGGCTCTGGGTGTGGTATCTGCTTTTTCACCTTTGTACTTTCCTGGTGCACGCAAGGTCCCATGGCCCACAGCTTGGCTGTAGTTCCTGCCTCTTGGCTGGGATCTGTGCAGTTCCAACTGCTGAAGTGATTGAGATTGTTGGCTTTCCTGGGGTAGAGGTCCCGACTTTGCTCATTCAGCATCTGAGCACATGCACTTAGATGGATGATGATTCCCACAAAGGCAGCCTTGAAAATCTGACAAAATGAATTATCAATCCTTACCATGTTCTCTTTGGAACTAAGGTCCAGCATGTGGCTCCCAGAGGGATGGAATGGACAGGGTCATATTGCCTTTGCTCCCTGGGGCATCAGCAGCAACAGCATGGAAGCTGAGAGTGACAACCTTGTGGTGTGTAGGTGAGCCATGGGGAAAAGGGCCTGCATCTCCCATCCTCAGGGGACAGCTAGAGACCATGTGTTGTCCTTGGTTGCACAAGACTGGCCAAAGCTATTGTCTTTTGCTGTGGGTGAAAGTGCTGTGGCAGAGAAAGTGAAAGCCATTTGTGGGCCTCTGGGCTGACATTGAGTTCATCAGGCCTCTGCCTGCCCATTGCCTAGTCCCCTGGAGAAAACAAATTGTTTTTGTTCAGATTCAGAATGGGAGTTGTGGCCTCAGCCAGACTTCTCTTTCATGTTCTCCTGGGGAATAGGATGCTACATAGTTTTCTCCTGATATTTGAAGAAGTAAATGAGCATAGTGTCCAGGAGTCTGGGCAAGCTGATGGACCCTTCTTGTATTATTTCTTTTGTTTCGTGTGTGAGTGTGCACAGGTGTTAGGAGGCTGAATCTGGAAGGTGCCTTAGTGCCTTTCCAAGGAAATCAGAATCCTATGTTGACGGGAAGGTCCAGCATGTTTCCCTGATGCGGGTGGTTGGCAGGAAGTGAGGAAAGCTTGGACAGCAGGAAATATGCCCAGAATGGTGGTTGAACCAATGGGTGAGTAAGCAGGTGGATGGATAAATTTTTCAGTCAGGTTTTATGGACTCTTTGTGTTTCCTTAAGTGCATTTGGAATGAGTATTAGGAAGGACAACAGTGGCAGATTTATGGACCATCCAAGTTTTCCTCTCCCATAATCGGTTTCCTTTGTGGCGGAACTCCAGATCCGCAAGTGTTTGGTATTGTGTCCTGTCTTGTCCTGGTGGCCAATTATGAGGCAAAGGGGATGTTTTCTGTCCATCTTTCCATGTTCTCCCTCTGTGCATGGCATAAGGTGTGCCTCAGGACATCCACATGTCATTCCTATATCCAGCCCACCTATCCTTTCCCAAGTTTAGGAGTTTTTCCTGGAATTCAGTGGGCTGGACCCGATAGAAACAGAGGAGTCAGTTGCCCACATAAGCAGGTGCTGTCTTAAGGACAGGAGAGGCTTTCTGGCACAGTGGTCTTTTTGTTTCGTGGCCTGCTGGTGCAGCAACACTGTGGTCTCTTGCATTCCTATCTGCAAGCCAGAGACATCATCGTGGGTTCAGCAGCCACGGCTGTTTCTGGATCCTGTCACGTCATGGCTTTTGCTGTCAGGATGGTCATGGATCACCTGGGTCTTGTGTTGTTTCTGGGGCCACTGTAGTGATGTTACTGCCTTAAAAAGTGCAGTACATCACGATGAGCAACTTAAGTGCTGTAAAGTGTGGAGCCCCACATCTTTGCATTTCAGAATGGTTCCAATGGCCTATGGCTTTTTGTATATTTCAAGCTAAACGCTTGTAGCACGGCTGTAGTCCAGGAAGCAAGTACACTCATGTGCCACCCAGATTGTTCACAGCTGTACTATGGAGCCCCTTTGTTGCACAGCCCAAGAAATAGTTTCATGGATAATCTCCCTGTCAAAGGAGGGCCTTATTCTTGTGCAAGCTCTCAAATACCTTTGTTCCTTCCCCATGGTGGTGAGACCATTGTGAGCAGAGTAGGTGCCAAGAGTGTGTTTGTTTTCCTGGAGGGACAGTGGTAATTCAGACAAGGTAGCCTCCTTCCCCCAAGGGTGAGTTGGGGATTCTTAGAGATTATCTTTACATTGTGCTGTCAGTGATGGTAAGAAGAGTGGATTTGCAGACTCTGAGACCAGTGAGTTGAAAGAACATTGGCACTTTGTCCTGTTGGCCTCTTGACACTTAATTTTTCCCTATAGCAATGCATTCATTTTTGGCTTCTGACACACGAAACAGAGTTGCAGCAATTGAGTCATAGATGGCAGTATGAATCTCAACTCTCCTGTGAGCTTTGCCTCTGTCTGCTGTGTGCCTGTTGCTATTCTTCAAGCCTGCAGATATTTTCTTGCCTCAAGTTAATTTCAGTCACCAACTTGGAATACCATTGCAACAGGTAACCTTTTGCATATTCCGTGACACTTGGCTTGTGGAGGTGAGGCCAGGTGAAATTAGTGATCCCCCATATCTGAGTGGACATGCAGCCCATGGGGATACAGGTAGAACACCCATGGTTGTAAGTGGCAGTTCTTTCCCAAAACCTAGTGGTTTGTCTACAGGCCTCTGGGTGCTGGGGTTGCACCCTTACCTTCTGTGCTTACTCTCTGGCATTCAGGTCCCATGGCCTGAGGCTTGACTACAATTCCTACCCTTGTCTTGGCTCTGGGCGGTCCCAAATGCTGATGTGATTGGGCTCGCCTACAGTCCTAAGATAGAAGCCACAACTTTCCACATCCAGTGTTTGACTACATGGTAGGATTGTATTGACTCCCTCAAATGCATTTCTTGGAAATCTAAACAAAATGAGTGAGTAGTCCCTATGGTCTCCTAATTGGAATTAAGTTCCAGTGTGTGGTTCCCACAGGGAAAATAGAGAGAATGCCAAGTTGCGTTTGTTTCCTTGTGCTTCAGCAGCTTCACTATGTAAGTTGAGGGTGACAGCCTTCTCATGGGAAGAGGAGCCTGGGACTCCCATCCTCTTTGGATGGCTGTAGACAGCATGTCTGGTCTGGGTTTATGAGCCTAGTCAGGACTGTGGTCTCCTGCTGTGGGTGAGGGTGAGATAGCAGAGGATGCCGGAGTTGTTTGAGAGCCTCTGGGCTGCCACTGTGTTCATGCCTCCACTCGGTTGTTGCCTTGTCTCTTAGAGGAAACCATAATCTTTACACTCAGAGTCAGAACAGGAGTCCTCGCCTAGGTTAGTCTTCTATGTCATGTTCTACTGGAGAGGAAGGATACAGAGTAAGTTTCTCCTGATGGTTGGAGAACATCAGTCACTGTCCCCAGCACGTTGTCCAAGCCTATGTCCCCTTTTTGGGTTGTGTCCCACTCGTATGTGAGTGAACATGAGTGCTGGGAGGGTGGGCCTGGAAAATGTTTTGAGGTAATAAATATTCTGTGTTAATGGGAGAGTCTGGCACATTGGCTCTGAGGCAGGTGTATTTCAGGGCAGTTGAAAGGTGAGAGGGTGGTGAATGTGTGTGGAATGAGCGGTGAACCCATGGCTGGACTGGTGAGTGGAGGTGTCAGCGAGTCTAGAGGGCTCCCTGAGCTCTTTGGGTTGCCTTCAGTGCATTTGTGCTCAGTGTCTGGAAGGCCTAGGGAAACAGATTCAGGGACTGTGCCCTATTTGGCCTCTTTTTGATTAACTTCCTTCACTTTGTGTCTTCATGGTGCTGAATGTTTGTTGCTGTAGTATTGTATCATGTCTTGACCTGTGTGCTGATTATGAGGCATGAGGTCCCCATCTGGCTACATTTTCTCTGTGTTGACCTTGTGAAGTTGTTCCTTAGGCCATCCTAAATTTTTTTCTACCCAGCCCTCCTAGCCTTCCCTAAAGGTTGGAGTTCTTCCCAGAGGTCATTGGGTGGGACCTTGTAGGAACAGGGGAGTTGGCTGCTAAGGAGAGATTGCAGGTTTAGGGTCAGGAGAGGCTGTCTGAGGGATGGGTCATCTTGACATGCCACCAGCTGGTACAGTGAGCTCATGGTCTCTGGCATGCCTGGCCTCAGTCCAGAGAATCAGTGAGGATTGTGGTCACAACTGTTTATTGGGTTTTCTCATGGCATGGCTATGGGGGTCACATTGTTCCTGGAGGACCCGCGTCTCAGTATGTCTCTGAGTTACGTCTGTGATATTCCTGGCTAAAGAAATTTCAAAGCTTCATGGTGAGTGTCCCAGTTGATATAAAGTGTCTAGCTCTGTAACTTTGGGTTTTGGAGTAGCTTTGCATGTTTTCCAAGTTAAGGGCCTCTGCCTTGGCTGTAGTCCAGGAAGTAAGTGCACTCTTGAGTCCCCCAGAGTCAGTTCAGGTGTGCCTCGGGGACTCTGTTGCGGGGCCCACGGAGCCACTTTTCATTGTGGACCCCACTTTCAGGCAAGTGCCATTTTCTCATATAAGCTCCCAGTTTCCTTGTTGCCCTGTTGGCAGGTCCATTGTGAGCAAAGTAGGTGCCAAGATTGAGTGTTTCCCCGGAGTGTCAGTGGCTGTTAGGATGGCAGGGTGGGCCCAGTTTTCCTGGGTATGTCAAGAGGTTCAAGATTTACACCTTTAAGCTGTGTCAGCAGGCACAGTATTCAGGAATGGAATTGGAGGGCCCAAAACCAGGGATGTGATGGACCAGTGGCTCTCTTTGGCCTGATAGTTACCCACTCTGAAAGTGTCCTTGCCCCAGTGCACTCATGTTTGACTCCTGCTACACAGACAAGGGGCAGGATATAAAACAGAGGCAAGATAGAGCCCAGTATTCCAGGTGGCATTGACCCTTTTTCCTGTACATTTTCTTCATGAGCCTATGCATGTTCTTCAAGTGTGTATGTAAATTCTTGCTTCAACTCAGGTGGAGTCCCCAGGGATCAAAACCATCAGTGTGGTATCCTTCCCATATTCCATGACATCAGGCTAGGTGAGGTCAGGCAGGGGAGCCCCTGGAGGCATGTTGGCATAAGCCCATGGGGTAATGGTGGAATGCCCATGGTGGTAAGTGGCATTTCTTCGTGGGAACATACTGGTTTGGCCTGGACCTCTGTGAGCTGGGGCTGCACCATCAGATTCTGGGCTTTCCCTGGGACATGTGAGCTCTGATGGCCTGAAGCTTGACTGCACTACCTCCCCCATGACAGGGTTCTGATGGGCCCTGAATGCTGATGTGATTGAGTTCCCTGGCCATCTCAGGGTGGAGGCCATAGGTCCAGAGTCTGAGCACATGCTTAAACTGATGACGACTCCAAAAAAAGGCATACCTTGGAAATCTAAACAAAATGAGTATGAAAAGCCTCTACTGTCTCCTCATCAGAACTGGGGTCCTAAATGTGGCTCCCACAGGGAACGTAGACAGGCTGTCACATTGCATTTGCCCCCTTGGCCATCAGCAGCCACTTCGTGCAAGTTGAGGGTGATGACTTTCTTGTGGGAAGAGGAGCCTTTGGGGA